AAGAAAGGTTCTCTCCTCCCGCCCCTTGTCCCATCTTCTGCTCTGGATGGTGTAGCACTTGGAGTGTTGTTTATAGCGCCCACGTCCCCGGCCTCAGCTACCTGTCCAGCTGCTGTGGGCCCTAAACACATCCATATGCCCTTTAAGGAAGATGGTTCAGATGGCAGCAGTTTGCCCAAGAGCACAACTGTCAGTGGCAGTCTGGATTCCAGCCCAAGTCTGCCCAGCTCCAAAGTCTGTTCTCTCCCGAAGAGCGACCCATGCTCCTTGGCACCACACCATTGATGGGATAAGAGAAGAGGGTAGAATCCCTGCCAAGGCACAGAAAGACCTATGTTTAGGTGTGGTTTCTGTCAGATGCGGTCTCTACAAGTTGAACCCCCACACTGTTTATGAAAGAATGTATCAGCTTAGTCTACAGGGAACAGAGTTACAGAAAATTGAAAGAAGGCTTCAAGATCCTGAACTTCTGCAGAAAGGAAGCAGGCCAAGAACACCCAGCTGCAAATGCTGGTCATTTCCTGTGGAAGACAAGGGTGACTTGGGGGCCATCCTGGCTCAGAGAAGAGGGAGGAGAATTTCTCCAGAGACGTGGATCAGCAAGTTGGCATGAGACAGATGCCCAGCCGAACTTGAGACCCCTGTGAACCATGAACTGCTGTGTGCCACCATGTTATTCCTGTTTGCCCAGGAGCACCCTGGGACAGAGATGGTCCCGTTGGCGTGTTGAGTGTGCAGGGAAGAGAGTTTGTCCCTTTCCCATAATCCTGGGGCTTTCCCCCAGGAACCCGAGGGTCTCGGTCACACCTGGACTTGATTAAGGAATAGAGCCTCGACTTTGAACGTGTGCCGGAGAGCAGGAGGGAATGAAGCAGTTTGGGGAGGAAGTGTGTCTGTCTGCTCGGGGGAGGAACACAGTAACTTCTGTCTGGAGACAGATGGGGGCAGCTTTTACTCTTCTCCCTTCAGAGATGACCGTTTATGACATTTCTCCTGAATCTGCGTGAGCCTGTGACCCCATCCACTAACAGCACAGTGGGAGGGACATGATGGGGCCTCTGAGCCTGGACCTTTGTGAAAGGCGGTGCCACTGTCCCCTGAAGCAGGATGCTGGCTCCCAGAGCTCTGAGCCCCAGATGGGCTTCCACCTTGCAGTGGCCATCTTGTAAGGAGGCTGTTCTTGGGTGCTCTCGTCAACACTTCCAGTTGGGCCTGTCCTTGGGGCCCCCAAGCCCAAAGACCAGGAGTGTGAGTGAAGATTTCAGCTAATTCCTGCCCTCAGCATTTCAAGTCACGGAGGCCTCAGACATCTGGAGCAGAACAAGCTGTTCCTGCTGAATTCTGTCTGAATTACTGACCTGCAGAATCTGGGAGCATATACAACAGCACATTTCATCATGTTTTGCTAATCAGCAGTAGGAAATCACAACAAAAAATGAAAAATCTATCTAAAGGTCCTCACCAAAAGAAATGTTAAACAATATACTTCAACCAAAAATAAAGTGGATTTGAAGAAATGGCGTAGGTTATAAGAAAAAGGGTTTGCAGTGGCATCTATAGTAAACCACTGTTTGAAAAGTTTAGTTTTTAAAAAAGATAAAACTAAAATAGTTTAGTTTTATAATAATAAGAGTTCAATGAATAGTTAAAGCATGCTAAGGTTTCATGTTCTGGAGAAGGAAAGAAATACTGAGTAATTTTAGTTTCTTAGAAATTTTCTAGTATATAATGTGTAGTAAAGATTTAAGGTAGCCTTGGAAAGAATAGAAATATAAATTTTAGCTTCCGAACTATCAGAGGAATGTCAGAAGTCAAGAAAGAGGGAAAGAAGTCCTAATAAAGAGAAAATCCAAAATAAGATGGTAGGAAAAAAGCTTACACATGTCAGTAATTACTGTAACTGTAGATAGATTAAACTCATATTTTAAAGGATAAAGATTAGTGGACTAAATGAAAATAAAATAATACTCAGTTAATGCTGCTTACATGAGACATATCTGAAATGAACCACACTGACAGGCTATAAAAATAAAGAGAAAGAAAAATATAGACTAGATTAACACTAACTAAACAAGAAGTCTATATTAATATTAGACAAAACACCATTTTAAAAGCTGTTTCTAGGGGTGAAGAAGGACAGAGCAGCCCTGCCCTCTCCGGCTCCCGAGTAACCACAGTTCTTAACCTGTTTGCTTATCATTAGCAAGCAGCTGGGATGAGACCGTCTTGTGGCCTCATGGAGGGCACAGCCTCCATGCTGGGCACCTCTGTCTTGCTCCTGACTGCAATGGAAATGCTCTGGCTTCACTAGTGCGTTCGATATTAGGTATGAATTTTTGGGAAATATCTTCCCTCAGGTTAAGAACATTTCCTTCTCTTCCTGCCCTCTGATATTCTGAGTGACTCTTAAATGCTATCAAGTGCTCTTTTCGTACCTATTATCAGGATGGTGTGGATTCCTCTTTAATCAATTCCTGTTGTGCTATCAGGGAGTTTTACAGTGTTAAACAGGACCGTTATTTCTTCTTTAAAGGTCATTGCCTTTTGGAATCAGGGAAGAGTACATGAAGGCTTGGTTGTATTCACAATGTTTTATTATTTAAAGAAAGAAAATGTGACAGTATGCCACCTTACGTTAAGCCTAAGTGGTAGCTCCATGGGTGTTGATAACATTGTTTCTATATTCTGTTTGACATATTCCACCACTTTTTAAATGCAAAGAATGAATATCAGTTTGGATTTTACAGAAAACCAGATCATTTCAAAGAAAGGCTCAAGAAAATTTCCTGGGACATGGAAGAAAACATGAAGTGAAAAAGTACAAGAGAAAAACTAAGATGTTTGGAAAATAAATATGAAATATCTTATGTAAAATATCCTTTCCTCACACCATACATAAAAATAAACACACATACACAGTTGGACAGTTAGAGACTGGGTTTATCTGACAGAGAAATAAGTAAAAAGTAGAAACTCAGGAACAAGGAAGACATAAAAAGAAACAGTGGTGAGAAGTATAAATTTAGCAAGAGGTGAGTTGGATTTAATAATGCACTGTTTACTTGGTTATAAAATTTAATTTAAGTAAATTTTTTAAAGAAGTTATGTGTTTAAACTTCAAATTTATTATGATCACTGGTTTTTAAAATTTACGTGTAAAATCTCAGATCATTTCAACAAAAACAAGAGATGGGTGTAATTTCTAGATTTCTTATTTTTCACACCTGAGTTCAAAATATTTGTGCATCCCTTTCTGTGCCCTCTTTATATTTATTAGGCATTTTCCCACTACCATTTGGAATTTGCTCATGGAGTGGCCTAGTTATACCAAGAAAAGCAACAGTTGTTCGTATCACATCCTTGGGTTCTAAGGGCCGAGCACCTTCGAGGTGGCCAGTCCTGTGGCCCTTCACATCTCCATCTAGTGAGTCCTACCAATTGCCTGGGCACCAGTCTCCTGATGGGACCATTAGAGAGATGAGATTTGACTGGGCACACAGTCCTTGGAGGAAGGTGGCCAGAGGAAAGGGAACTTATTTAAGTGAAGGATGAGAAATCCCATGACCTCAGAGAGCACACAGGTGGGGCAGGTTTGCAGAAAAGGAAGGCAGGCTGGATGCCCAAGAGGGACGTGGCTACAATCTGAAGCCCTCAGTGGCCAGAGGTCCCATCCAAGGTCCGAGTCTCTGGAGAAAGGAGGATGGAGAGGAGGGCGGGAGGAGGTCCGTCCTTGTTCCTCACGGCTTCAGTCTGGGTGGAACACGGTCCACTCCCTTTAGCCAGTAGCTTTAGGCCCTGTGCTCGCTCCAGCTCCTGCCCAGAATGATTTCCAAGTACCTGACCCAGTGGCAGACCCGACGGCCAAGGTGCCTAGCTCCAGGATGTGCCTTCAGTGCCCTGCCACACCCCTGTCTCCACCACATGCCACCTCCCACCTTGCCTTCCTCCGAGAGTGGTGTAATCTGGGAGATGGGGAATGTGGTCCTAGCCAGGAGAGCAGACCCTCTCCACAGCTTGGGGTGGGGTGGGGTGGGGGAACTTTGCTCAGCCCAACAGAACTGCCCCAGGTGCCCTGGCCTCACCCGCTCAGAGCTTCTGCCTGAGGAGAAGAGCGACCCCTCCTTTCACAAGAAGGCGCGGACCCAGCCTCTGCCCATGGAGATGTGGCTGCTCCAGCCCCAGCAGGGGCCCAGCTTGGGTTGGGGAGAGTGTGGGGTGGGGAAGCTGGAGCCTGGGAGACCTGCAGCTGCATCACCTGAGCAGATGAGAGAGTGGGCCGTGCGCACCTCAGGGCAAATCCCAGGGCAGAACCCCAGGTCCCCTTGTGAGTGCTGGAGTGGCCGGCTCTGCTCCCTCCTGGTGGAAAACTGGTGGGTGCAGTTGAAGGTCACGCCCCAGCCCAGCCAGCCAATTCACAGGCCCCTGTTGAGGAAGGACCAGGGGTCGCCTGGCCAGATACCACCCCACATGGAGAAAGGGCAACTGCCTGCCCACTCTCCCTAAGGGCTACCACAGTGGGGGCGGGTCGGGGGGGGGCTCTTGCTCTGTGGGGGGCTATCTGCCTGGGCGAAGCATCAACCTCAAGGCCAGTTCAGCGTTGCTGCCACAGGAATGCTCTTCCTTTCCGGAAGGAGAAGGGCCCTACTGGCAGAGGAGGGTAACAGCCCAGAGAAGCCGTGCTGGTCCTGGACCTGTCCCCACCTCTCACCCCACACCCTGCTCCATCAAAGTCACTGTTAAATGCAATCACACTGCTGCATGGAGGGTCGCAGGGGAAAGCTGCTGCCTGCCTGTGGGCGTGGGTGGCAGGGACACAGTAGAGTCAGTGGGGACCAGTGCCTGCTCTTGGGAAGAGCAGCCCTGTGTCTGCCAGGACCAGCCAGCCACTCTCGCAGACACCCAACGGAACATCAAGTATGCCACTCAGCTGAGCCACAGGTGCCCGTTTGAGACAGGGTAGCAGATAGAGGCGTGGGTGCACACGTGTGTGTTCAGTCGCTTCAGTCGTGTCCAACTCTTTGTGACGCTAGGAACTGTAGCCTGGGCCAGGCTCCTCTGTCCATGGGATTCTCCAGGCAAGGATACTGGAGTGGGTTGCCATTTCCTCCTTCTGGGGATCTTCCCGACCCAGAGATCAAACCTGTGGCTTCTCCTGCATCTTCTGGCTCGCAAGAGAATTCTTTACCTCTGAGCCAGCTGGAAAGCCCAGATAGAGGCTTATTCACAGGAAACCTGTAGGGTGACAGAGCACAAAGCATGGAGACTGGGTCTTGAAGATGCCACGTTGACTGCAGAAGCCAGACTCTATTTAAAGAAAGTTCAAGACCAGACAGCCCCACGGGTCTGCTGGGAATCAGGACATGGCAGCCGGAGGCCCAGTGCTCTGCTCCCCGTCAGGACGCAGTGCACGTGTGCCCCTCCCAGGAACTGGCTGCTGGGTGTGCGCAATGAGTGCACTTTTCCATATGTGCCACACGACACTCTCCACACTCATTACTGGTTAAAAAAAAAACCAGTGGCTGTGGCTGAAGGTCACACCCTGGCCCAGTGAACTAATTCACAGGCGTCCTTGGAATCCGCAGAAGGAAATGGCAACCCACTCCAGTATCCTTGCCTGGAGAATCCCATGCATAGAGGAGCCTGGCAGGCTGCAGTCCATGGGGCCGCAAAGGGTCGGACATGACTGAGCAACAAACACACATTTGGAATCTGGCTCCCGAATAGACATCTGTGGCTCAGGTGAGTGGCACACGACATTCCTGTTGGGTGCCTGCCATGGTGACAATGGCAGGCACACCGACCCTCCAGAGAGCCTGCTTCCTCCCGGGCACTGCCGTTCTCAGGGTTTTCTCAGCTGAGATGACCCCACATGCGCCCGAGGCAGCCGCCACTGTTCTAAGCCCTGTTTCAGGGAGGAGGAAAAGGAGGCACGTGGAGGTTGAGCTGCAGCCTCGGCAGGACCAAGCGCCACTGTCCACTGCTGTGCTGAGACCGGTAGGGCTCACAACGCAGGTGGCCACAGGAGCTGCGGTGAGAAGATGGCCTGCGAGGTTCAGGCAGAAGCGACTGCCAGCCTAGGCACCATTCCATGCGTTTTGACCCCATGAAACAGAAAACAGAGAGGAAGGTGCACAAAATCACAAGCCAAAGTCACTTCCTTGTGCCTTCTTTGGCAACTGCTTCAATAACACAGAGGCCCCTGTCATCCTTTGCAGTCTGGAGTGTCTGGGGTCTGCATCAGTCAGAGAGGCTGGGATACAAATAGCCACAGAACATCAGAAGCTGGAAACAGAGGTTTCATTTTTATGTCTCAGTTCCTCACTGCAAGTCTGGGGCCCCAGCCCAAGTCAGGCTCACTTGGAAGTCCTCCTGGGCATGTCGCATTTCCTGCTGCAGAGGGAAAGATACAATAACTCGAGCAGGGCTTTGGGTCGCTTTGTGACTTGGCCCTACTGCTGTGTGTCAGAGGACACCTAGGGACAGGACCAAGGTCAACCAGAGGCAGGATGGAGTGGGGCTTGCCCACCCACCATCAGAGCTGCTGCACTGGCCTCCTGATGCCCATCAGGGGGCAGAGGTGCCCCTGCTCCAGGCTGTTGGGCCCATGTAAGGCATCCCTTGGCATGGAGGGAAGATGGGAGATGCTCGCCCACCTGCCTGCATGAGGCCCCCACTGGGAGATGGGCTCTACAGGGCTGAGGGCTGGGTCCGCCTGCCTCCCCGGTCCCCTCCTCCTGCTCACCTCGGGAGGAGCCTGGGCCTCTGTGAATCATCGCTTCTCTGGAACATGTCAGCTGACTCTAAACAAACAGGCTGAGAAGAACACATCTGCAGGAGCATTTCTTCTGAATTAGAAGAAAGGAAATGGGGCCCCAAGCGGAGTGCTGCCAAGTCCCAGTCGGGGTGCAGCGAGGGGACTTGGGACATCAGGATGGGGGAGCTCCTTCTCACCACCAGCCACCATCCAGGGTCCTTCATCACCCACCAGAGACCCACGGGGCAGGGAAGGTGGGGGCTCCCAGCAGGAGCCAGGCATGCCCCACCCCCACGGCTCCCCCACGAGATTCCAGCAGAGTGTCCTGCTCCGGCCTCACAGTCTCATCCAGATGGAGTGTCTGGCGATGAGGGCCTCCTGACTTCCTGGAAGCCGCCCCATCGGCCTCGGAGGTGCAGATGCAGATCAGACCGACACGGGCTCTTGGCGGGTCACCTGCAGCACGGGCCCAGCTGGTGGGCTCAGATCCAGGGTTTGCTGGGAAACACAGGCCCTTAGCAGAGGGCGCGGATCCCTTTCCTAGACGACTCAGCATCTATTCCTGCAGTAAAGCATCCTCCCCATGGGCCTCTGACTTCAGGAGCCTGCAGTGTGCCGTCTTTGTCCCTGCAGGTAACAGGCCCCCTCACTATCCCCAGGTGGAGAGAGGATGCCCTTCCAGGGCAAGCTGTGACTTTCTCCAAACCACTAGCTATCAGGGACACAGGGCAGGGACAGGAAAAAGTGACAAATCTGGACAGACAGGAGTGGATGCCCGAGGCCCACTAGCCGGGCATTTCTAGGACTCGATGATGCCTGGAGGTGTCACCTGACTTGGTGGCCATTGGAAGAACAGTGACCATGCAGACAAGGGGGTGAGAGCCTCCAAGTGCCAGTCTGAACCATCCACAGCCTGACAACAGCCCTGGGGTGGGGGGCACTGGCACTGCCCCCTCCAAGGACAGAGGCCAAGGCACAGAGTGGCAGGCACACACAGGTGAGCTCCCCGGCCCAGTGGTCCCACCCTTATCCCTCACCAAGATGTCCACCCCACGGGTGTGGGGACCCTGGATGACCAGCTGAGTGACCACGGACTTCAGGGGAGAGGACTGGGCAGTTGGATCCAACATCTTCCGAGTCCAAACCCCAAATTCTTCTGCCACTATTGCTGCAATTCTTGAGGTACCTCCAAGGACTTGAGGGTCACCAACGGGCCAGTAACAAGGATGCATTTATTGTGTTGTGTGACCGGGCAAGGGTTCCATGGCTCATTGTTGACCCAGATGACCCACGTGGGGACCCGCCTGTCCCTGCTCTCACTGTGACCCTGAGGGCAAGTAGGTCCCACTGCAGGTGCATCACCGCTTCCCCCGCGACTCTGCCTCAGTAGTTCTCTCTGTCACATCTCTCTGTCTTAAGGACACATACGCACACACATGCACACACACCCGCACCGTGTGCATGACCACAAACAGGTGAGCAACAGGCCAAGACCGCCCGGCCCCTACAAGGGACAAGCCCCCAGCTCCTCACTGAGCTGGGCATGAAGTGCCCGGTGGGGCTAGCAAGTCCACCTAGGGGAAAACCCAGACCCTTCAGAGGAGGCAGCCCTCTAGGTAGGGTCCTAGGTGGGGTCCAAGGTGGGAGCCACCGGCCAGCAACTGCCCCAGAAGCCTGTAAACATCTAGGTTCTCAGTCTCCTGAACCATGATTCTTCCGAAGCCCTTCTCCTGTATGTAAGCAGAGCGACAACACAGTTGGGCCATGTCCCACAGCTAGTGTTTCTTTTTCTGTTTTGATGACATTTTAATCATCCCAATTAGTGAAAATTGAAGACACGCAGCACTTTGCCCTCCCACTAGAGTACTCCGAAAGGTAGATGGGCAGCTTCCCATTCCACCCGCAGCTCAGGGCTCAGCCCCAGGCCCTCCATACATCTTGAAGCCCACCCACACCTGCTCTGGGGCCAGGGATACCCTTCCCCTCCTGGTTGATACCCCCAGGGGCTGTCAGCTTGGCCCCAGTAGGGTCCACCCCTCTCAGTGGCCCCCACGTCCTTCACAAGTCTGTCCTGCCCTCTGCAGACAGAAGCCAGTCATGGTAAGAAGCCAGCAGGGACGCCTCCTCCCAGCTGCGGTCCTTGTCTTTGGACAGTGCTCTCTCTACTGCTTTATTTTTTAAAACAGCAATATATATTTATTAAAATGAAAAAGGTTAGTATTATATTGATACATGGGGGAAAAGCAAGTTACAAACAGGTACTTGCAGAGGATCCCACTTTTAAAAACAATACATGAATGTGCAGATGTATGGGAAATATTGTGGAAAGTTACACAGAAAAATATTACAAGTGGATAGGATTATCAGTGGGGTGGGTTTATGGGTAATTTATAATTTATTTTTTATACTTTTTGTAGGCTCACATTTTCTCAGGGGACATGTGCAATTTCTTTTTCACTTTTCTTTCTTTTTCTTTTTAAAACTAAGAGTACAGCAAATTTTTTGAGATACAATTTACACACCATAAAACTCACCATTTTAAAGTGTACAGTTCAATGGTTTTTGGTATATTCACAGAGATGGGCACATTGCTACTGCTACTGCTAAGTCACTTCAGTCGTGTCCGACTCTGTGTGACCCCATAGACGGCAGCCCACCAGGCTCCCTCGTCCCTGGGATTCTCCAGGCAAGAATACTGGAGTGGGTTGCCATTTCCTTCTCCAATGCATGAAAGTGAAAACTGAAAGTGAAGTCGCTCAGTCGTGTCTGACTCTTAGCGACCCCATGGACTGCAGCCTGCCAGGCTCCTCCATCCATGGGATTTTCCAGGCAAGAGTACTGGAGTTGGGTGCCATTACCATGATCTAATTCCCAGATATTTTCATCCAAAATGAAGCCCTCAACCCATCAGCAGTCATTCCCACTCCCCACCCCCAGGGCCTGGCAACTATTAATCTACTTTCCGTCTGTGTGGATTTTCTTATTATGGACATTTCATGTACATGGAATCACACAGCATGTGACATCATGTGAATGGAGTCATTGACTTAGTTTAATGTTTTCATGACTCATCCATGTTGTAGCATAAATCAGTACTTCATCTTCTTATGGCTGAGTAAAATCCCACTGCATGGCTGGACCACCTTTTGTTTATCCAGTCATCAACTGACTGACATATACATTATTTCCACTTTGGGGGCTATTATGAGTAATGCTGTTCTGAATATTTGTGCACGAGTTTTAGAGTGTATGTTGTTTTCAGTTCTCTCAGGTGTATCCAAGGACTAGAATTGCTAAGTCATATGGTCACTGTGTTTACCTTTTTGAAGAACTGCAAAATTGTTTTCCAAGGTCTGATACACCATTTAACACTTTCACCAGCAGTGTATGCAGCTTCCAGCTGCTCAACATCCTTCCAGCACTTAATAATACCCATGTCTTTTATTCTACCCTTAGTGGATGTGAAATGGCATCTCTGGGAGGTTTTGATTTAGATTTCCCTAGACTGATAATATTGATTTTTTCCTGTACTATTAGCCATTTGAATGTCTTCTTTGGAGAAATGTCTATTCAAATTCTTTAATCCACTTTTTAGTTGGGCTATTTGTCTTTTCATTATTGAGTTTTAAGAGTTCTTTATACACTCTGGATATGAGTTCCTTATCACATATATGATTTGAATTTCCCTATTAACTTTAAGATCATCCCATCAATTTCCATTAAAAAAACCAGATGGGATTTTAATATGGACTTTGATGAATGTGTAATCACTTTCAGGAGTGTTGACCTCTTAACAATATATGTCTTTCAGTCCATGTACATGGGGTCTTTCCACTTACTAGCATAGTCTTTCATTTCTTTCACCAATATTTTGTAAATTTTGGTATATAAGCCATTCACTTTTTTTGTTAAATTTGCTTCCAAGTATTTCATTCTTTTTGATGCTATTGCAAGTGAAATTGTTTTCTTAACTTCATTTCAAATTGATCATCTCTAATGTATAGAAATGCAGTTGATTTTTATATTAATTTTGTATCTTGTCACCTTGCTAAACTCATTTATTAATTCTAATAGTTTCTTGTGTTTCTTCAGGATTTTCTACAAACAAAATCCTACCAATTGCAAATAGAGAAATTTTACTTATTCCTTATACTGTCCACAGAAATTAACCACAAATATGATGATATAGGCAGGTTGAAAGTAAAAAGATGGATTAAGATATATCATGCAAATATTTAATCAAAAAGAAAGAGTGACAACATGAATATCAGATAAAGTAGACTTCACACCAAAGAAAATAACCAACAGAGAGGAACTCTATGATGAAATGTACGTCTCTCAAGAAGACATCACAATCCTAAGTGTTTACATATCAAAAGCAGAGCTGCAAAACACTGGAAGGAGAAACAGACAAATACACAGTTGTTGGTTAATCCAACACCCCCATATTAGATTCTTATTTTTGCAATCATAAAATACCAAAAATTTAAAAGAACACAAATCTATTTTGTGGGAGGTCAGAGGTCTTAAATAGGTCTTCCTAAAATTAAGGTGTCAACAGATGGGCAGATAAACAGGTACAGACACTCAACAGGGCATGCTGAGCAGTACAGAGGTGTGAACGGCTGGTTCTCACACAGAATGGGTGAAAGTCAAAATGCTGTGCTGAGCAATGGACACCAGATACCAGAGCTCATGCTATACCAAGTTCTGGGCAAAATGAATGTATAGGATGGAAATCAGACAGTGGTTACTTGGAGGTGGGGTTAAGGTGTTGAGAAGAGGTGCATTAGCTGGGGTTCAGCTGCGGGGGGGGTGGTGTGTGGGCGATAACGGGATATTTATGGAGATGTCTGCTCCAAATGTGCTCTTTTTCCTGTTGGAAATTAGATCTCAATCTAAAAATAGGCAGAAACATCTACAAAATTCCACTCCTCTGGAAGCCAGTAACTCTTTTTAAGAATATTTACCCATGAATTTGTCTGAAATGTAAACATTTACTCAACACGTGCACCCCAATGTTCATCGCAGCACCGTTTATAATAGCCAGGACATGGAAGCAACCTAGATGCCCATCAGCAGACAAATGGATAAGGAAGCTGTGGTACATATACACCATGGAATATTACTCAGCCATTAAAAAGAATGCATTTGAATCAGTTCTAATGAGATGGATGAAACTGGAGCCCATTATACAGAGTGAAGTAAGCCAGAAAGATAAAGA